CCTCATTCATTACGCGGAACAATCAAGGTCTACTTTTCGCAACGCTTTCTCTACTGTCCGATCAAAGATGTAATGTTGCTAGTAGAACAAACAAGAAGTGTCATCAAACTACGATATTCACCAAGGTCAGGCTATCTTGAGAACCAGGCGCTCCACTATCTGTGTCGAAACAAGATCTAGAGAATGTGTCAGTGAAGCGGTTTTACAAGCTTTACGAGGAACGACCAATGAAGAGTGTCCACAGGCGGAAGCGTCAGCGAACTGATGAGGAGAAATGGCCTTTTATGGCTGACACTGGGCATTTCGTGCATCCATCAGCGATCAAAGGAAACGACGGGCGTTAACTGGTGAAACTTCAGCGGGAGTAATTTTGAGGAAAGAAGAAGCATTGGTTCGGGTTCCACAATGGGCCTTCTCAGATGCATGCGGTTTTGGTGCGAAATCCTGACGTGTCCTACTGGCGAACTGAACCAGGCAATGGATACTTATGCGGAATGCTGTTGGCTTTGTACTTGCCGCAACGATGTTTGCTGATTTAAAGAAGTCCGTACCCCAGACCAACTTTGCTTTCGCTGAAAAACTTCGTGAAGTGTATAATACGATGTTCTGAGAAAAACGAATAACGAAGAACCCGTCATCTTCTCAGAAAGGAACCTGTCATTCATCCAGAAAATTCAAGACACCGCTTTCAACAACCCGAGGTATAAGGTGAAAGAGGATGATCTTCAACGAGTCACTAAGCCCTATAGACGGAAAATTGGGAGGAGAACATGTACGAAAACGAATCTGATGACGAGCACGAACATGAGGAAAGATGATCTGATTCAAAAGGTTTACGAAAATTGGATACGTGATCTTGAGAGCCAGGGCCAACAGATTCAAACGGGACTTTTGGCAAGCACATTTGATGTCTTAGTTTTACGGCTATACGTCACAATGGAAGCAGACAACGCAGGATACAACGTGCATTTACCCATTCCTGAGAATTCGTTAGATGAAGACGAATTTGTTACCATAAGTGCTGACTTTCACACGACTGGCACTACAAAGAGAAGCACAGTGGAACCGCCTACACCTACGATATCACAAGATCATTGAAGTTCTACTTAACAAACGTGAGTGCATCCAAAGGGCAAATGTATTAAGTACAATCCGCAGGTTGAAGTGTCGCAGGCGAATGGAAGCGTGAAAGTATAAGTGACTGGGCAACGGCTGCCAATCTGGACGACAAACAGAGAAGGCTTTCGAGTGTATCATTGCAGCCTTCCTGTTGACATTTTATGAGGAAGCTGAAAAGGTGACTTAGAGGATGGAGTCCCGGATATGGGGTTGAAGGCAAAAGTCCGACTTTCTCGTAAAAACCTTTGATTTTGAAGGGAAGTCGTGGCACCCAACTGATTCTTCTTCTACATGGGCCTGGAGGAAGTGGAAGACTACCGTAATTGCTTAGTCATGGCCTATGGCAAGAATTCTGCAGTTTGATTGATCATCCATTTAACGACGAACCATTGTTGTCACGCTATGTCGGGGGTTGCTGCTACAATACTCATGGGGAAACAACGCATTCAGCTGTGGGATTGAACAGAACTCGGGAAAGGTGGCGAAGAACTTGGTAGAAGATGGAGTGACGCACGGATGCTTATCATCGACGAAATTTCATTCGCGGGGGAACTTACTTAGTGAAGATATTCCACTACACCAAGAACCTTGATGCAAGACGAATACCAACATTTGGGGGACTTAACTGGTGTTCGCGGGGGACTACTCTCAACTTGAACCAGTGGGACGCCCCCCAATTTACAATCTTCAGCACACCATTCCTGAATTTCATGACTCTCTGAATTCATTTATTGAGTTAGATGGAATGCACCACTTCAAAGACGATCCTGAATGGGGGCAACGCTGTTTAAGTTCCGTGAAGGGCGACCAACAGAAGAAGATATGAGACCATCAATGACGCCTGCGTGGTTGGCCCAACCCATGTTCCACCAGAGAACATTCAAGTTGCTACTTATCTGAATCGAGATCGAGATGCCATTAACTCAGCTATCTTCGAAGAATTTGCGGGAAGAACAAACCTGCTGATGATTCCGTGCTGATGGATGCAGTACTCATTTCATGGACGATCTTCAAATGGCCAATCAAGCAGGGACACTGGTTCCTGTTAAGAGCAATTCGGTTTTAAAGCACTTCTTTTCAACATGTGGAGAAGACTCGTTAAAACCGGTTCGGACTCACGAAAACGTTGTTGATCCTGCTTTGAAGTTATATAAGGGGTGTCCTGTAATGTTTACAAGAGAACACGAATGTTCCGAATGGAGAACCAATGGATCTCGGCTTTTTGTGAGAAAGGTGAATGTGAGCATGGTTGCACCCCCATGGTTATTCAACTCGACAACGGCTGCAAGATTCGGGCTTTTTTCTCGGGTCAAGTCAAATCTATCCTTGTGGAACATGAAATGGAGACTATTATGCCACGTACTTTTTATGTAACGGGCAAGACTACACTTTCAGTACCAGATGGTTCTATGACGGGAAGTTGTACACAACAAGATGAAGGGTAAGCAGTTCCGATTATCAGCAATTCTGCGACAACTGGACACCAAATTACAGGATATACTGCATGTGGTTATTGGTACATTCATGGCGATACTGTCAAAACCTGGGCTTACGTGGTGTTATCAAGGGTGCGAACCATGAGTGGTTTGTTCTTATTGAAGAAGCTGGATTGGGATCCAAAGAACTTTGCCATGCCACAACGAATGAGAGACATGCTTGCAAGATTTAAGGATACTATTGGGCTTTCTGTCCTAGGAGAAGATCAATATGATGAAATGTTCCAGCGAGAAGACGGGTTCTTGTTATAAATATGAACGGTAGGGATATAGGGTAAATTAAGCTGTATATAAAAACTTTTATTACTACAACTACCTTTCTGAGATTCGCATTGCACCTCGTACGTCATTCAATGTCAGTCATTGAAAAAAGATCAAGCGTCCAATCAAATCACAGGCGACCCCGAAAAATTGGGAGCCAACTTTTAAAATGTGAAGAACGCAAGGCGACTTTCATGTGCATGTACATGCGTTGACTGTATCCCGTCAATACAATACTAGTCGAATACGTAGACTTCTACAGGGCCTTCTAAGTAATGCGCACGGGGTATAATTCAAACCTCTGCCCCCATCGGTACCATTACCCCTAAAAGCAAGTCGTCTCCAGGAGACGAAATTGCTCATGTAAAGAAGGGCTGCAACAGCGCAACAGCACAAAGCGTCTGATGATAGTTTGCTTCTTAGATGATTACACGTTCTACGATCTTAATTACACTACAAGTGCCGTATACACTGCAACCGATGCCATGGCGAAGGCAGCTCCCATTTTGGATGACGAAGATTCTTCATTTGACTCTCCTTCGTTGGTATTTTGGAGTGGCTGAGGTGCTGGCTCTTCACAGTCATCAGCAGCAAACCCAGCAGCCTCTCCAACGCATTGGTTGGAGTACTCGCAGTTGTTGGCACCGCAGAAGACAGGACGGTAGTCCATAGCTGCAACAGAAAAAAGTTGAAGTGGCGTGAGCATTTTTGACTACATGCCAAGTGACACAGTTTGACGTTTGTGCGGCTGTTCAACTTACTGCATGCAACATCAGGGCTGGGGGCAGGGCAGCAATCAGTCTCTTGGAATCCAGCGGCACCAGCACCACACTGGTTGGAGTACATGCACTGATTGGCTCCACATTGGACTGGGCTATAGTCAGCAGCTTCAAGACAAAATAGAAATAGAGTTCCAAGAGTTAGTAAGCAACCAAGCAAAACTATTCAGCCTTGCCACTGTTGACAACTTACTGCACACAACATCCTCACTAGCAGCAGGGCAGCAATCAGTCTCCTGGAATCCAGCAGCACCGGCACCACACTGGTTGGAGTACATGCATTTGTTGGCTCCACACTGGACAGGTGCATATTCCATAGCTGAGGAACAAGGAAGCAAAATGTTCTGTTAGTGAGGACTGTCAGTGTTTGCCCCACAGCCAAACCTCTTCTGACAACTTACTGCACATGACGTCTTCACTCTGAGCTGGGCAACAGTCAGTCTCTTGGAATCCAGCAGATGTCGCACCACACTGATTAGAGTATGTGCATTTGTTAGCTCCACACTGAACGGGCACATATTCCATAGCTGAGAAGAGGAAGACAGGTTTGGGTTAGCCAAGTGAAACCATTCACAGAGCAGCGGGATGAGGCTGTACAAGATGAAAACTTACTGCACATCACTTCATCCGATAGAGCGGGACAGCAGTCAGCTTCTGCAAAGCCAGCTGCTTCAGCACCGCAGAGATTGCTGTATTCACAGCTTTTGGGCCCACATTGAACAGGGGTGTAGTCGGCAGCTTTTCCATTGAAAGAAGGATTATTTGGTGTGAGTGAGTGAGCCAGTTTGAACATCGCCCCATCGTTTCAATAACTGATGCACTTACTGCAGGGAGTGGCGACGGTTGCAACCGGGCATTCCTCTTCTTGTGCAACCGTGACGGCGACCATGGTCATGAAAAGGGCAGAGACGAGCTTCATCTTACTATCAATTGTCGTTGTTAATTGGAATGTTTCGAGTTTTCGTTGATTTGTTTTGTGAGTGAAGTTGAGGGAGAGGCAAGGCAACTTGAAGATTGGTTCCAGAATACTCCTGCCGGGGTCGAGAACCGGCGGCTCAGATGGGGTATGGTACAAATGCAAGCGCTGGCTATAGTATTAGTGGGTATACATACCGTACAGTGGCCAAGAGTATGGCCTATAATGCAAACAAGCAGCGGACTGCGGCCAGTAACAACAAACAGGCAACAAACTGTCGACGACCGTCGGCTCGGAACATTCCTCGCTGGCATTGCTTGCTACTATCTGGCACGGTTAGCTAGCCAAAACGTTTCCGCACGATCGAAAAGGTTGAGGGGAGAGAGGAAAGAGACAGATCTTGGGGGGTGACAAACAGCTCTGCTGGCGGCTGTATTGCACCAAAGAACCAGCAATGACATGCTCATGCTCTATGCAAACCAGTATCATACCGTACTTCTTTCTCGAACTACTACCGGTAGCTAGTACCCAACCTGACAACGGTATCAGGAAAGTATAGGTGGTTGTAAGAATATATCCAATCCTCTAATAGAATACCCAGCTGTGATCTGAACGGCCGACCTTCGATTGGGTGGGGACGACAACCAAAGATTTGTAGGAATTCCGAACACAAGTGCCGTGACAAAAGAACATGTCGTCGTCGTCGTCGAGAACCAATCTGGTGCCATTCTTTTTGTTGAATTTGGAAGGAGGAAAAACAAAAGTTTTGTTCACGGTGCCCTCCAATTTGGCCTTGACATTGATTCGACACCCCGTCTTGTGCCGTGGTGCAGCTTTTGACTTGAAACTCGATGAGGGTTACGATCAACAAGAACCTGATCATCCGGGAGAACCATCATCCACAACCTGCTTCTTATTCACTATATTCGAAAGCCCTCATCCAGAGGCTACTGCTGGAGCTATTTCGGAACGACTGGCATCTCGGGTGACAGATTCTTGTGAGAATCCATTATCCACAGTCTTTGGATTCTAAAATTTAATGGTGTGGGTGCTATGGTGAAGTGGTTGGGTATAAGAGCAACTGGTGGCTTGATGGTTTTGTTGTTTTTAAACCAAGACAGAGGATTGAGCATTATTTGATGGGTATCTTATTGTGTCAACTGGAGATGAAGAGTTATTTGTTCGAGAGGAAAGGGACGGTGGATCTATTTGGCATTACATTTACTGTGAAGAACGACAGAATTATTCAGCTCACGACAATACACAAGGTCTTTGGTGAAGTCTATGTGCCGGGGCCAAGCACTGCTGGTAGTTGGGTACGATTGGCGAAGGGTAGTAGCACTCCACTATCTACATCAGTTCCTTGGAAACTTTAGGTTTTAAGGTTGCCTTTTATGCTTCTTTGTTCGACAATTAAGATTATCAGTAAGCGACATCGACTGGCAGGTTGCTGCTTGTGTGAGTGGACGTAGAAAGACAATACTAGTATTCGTTCAGCAGGATGGTTGAATATCTGTGTTTCACTTTCTAATTCCGTTCTGCACCTACCAAGCAATTGCCCCGCGGGATAATACATTCAGAGTCTTGGCTTCCTCCCATACAATGACACTTCAAAAATCCATATCCTGTCTTCCAATTTCATTGTCTCTTGCCCTTCCCTTGGCCCTGAGGAGATTGGGAACTGGGAACACCCCCCATTCCTCATTGGCTCCTTTGTTCGGTCGTTCCCAGCCTCCTACTGGCTACATGTAGAGTACCGGTACGTACCTGGTAGAGTACGAACCAAGGCATTCGATTGGTCATTCGATTCGATTCGGTCGGAGCACGTCCGAATCCCGAATCGAATCATCATGCATCCTATCCGCAACCGCAAAGAACAAGAATTGCCGAATTGCCACGGTTCAAACCGAAAGCATCATGGAGTGGTTATCAAGGCAACAGAACCACAACAACTGGAAGTAGAGTACCCTTTTGTTGGATGTTTAGGAGACCATGGCTTCCTCCACCGATGATAGTAATGCAGATGAAGCTGAAGTTTGGTATGCCATCCCTAGCAAGGAACATGATCAAGAATACTACCACAACCCCGTGACGGGAGAATCCACTTGGGTGCTGCCTTCTTTCGAAGATCATCTATTGAAAAAGTCTGAGGATGATGATTGCATTGAATCTATTCGCTCGGATGAAATAAGGAACAGGGAAAGGGAGATTGAAGAAGATTCTGGTCAGAATGGTAGTTCCGATGATGACGACTCGTCCATATCATCTCATGCTGAGCGACAGAAAAAGCGAATGCCAGTCATCTTTTGCATCCTCTTTGCCTTGCTGTTTGTCATGTTCAGCTCCCTTTCAAGCAGCAGCAACAACGACAGCCCCAGTGATGTTGTTGGAAAATCAAAGAAACACATACTCTCCAACAATGTGCATGAGGAAGCTTCATATTCATCGGCAGCAGACGTGACAGTGGACCAAGAGACGGAAGATATGGCCAATGATACCCAAATCGAGCTTGTCAAAATGGAACAATCTGCAGATGATGTATTCCTAAATGATGGCAGTATAGAAGATTACACAGCAAGTATGATAGATGCAACAGATGTCAAGCACAAGGCTCCGGCTGTCACAGCAGAAATGCAAACTGAGGAAGTTCCGTCAGATGAATACAACCAAGATGGGAAACATTCTACACAACAAGCAGATTTATCAGACACGGAACTAGAAGATTCCCCAGACAAGATCCTCTTGGGTTCTCAGCATCAGAATGTCAAAGAAGAAGGCTCTGACGAAACCAAAATGGGTCGGTCGTCCCATGTGGATGTCAACAATGTGGAGCAGTTGGTTGGCTCAGTGAATGATGACTTGGTGGATGCTGTCAATGAAGCTTGTGCAACAGAAACTGCTGATGCTTTTACCACTCATAGATTTGATGAATCAAAGATAGACACTGGCCCAGCTGGTTTGGAAGATGAGAGAGCATCCCAAGTGACAACAAACCCAGAGACCCAGGAAGACAAGCCATCCACATCTGAAGTGATACCGGTACATGTAACAACCGTCGAAGGTGTTGAACCTGATCATGATCACATAGTGGATGATACAAGTGTTAGAGGGATGGAAGAAGAATGTCAGCACACCAGTCCTCATCCAGAGGATGCTGCTAAAAACAGCAATGACGAAGAGATGAGTTCGGTAGACGAAACCATGGTTGCCTTGGAAGCCGAGGAATACGGTACTGGAGGTGTCCAAGCAATGGCTCCGGGTGTCAATGACGATTCGATCGTAACCAATGGCAAGGAAGGGGATGCGCCTACCTCAGATGACAATGAACCTCTTGAAGAAGCATCGCAAGAAACAACCATGGAAGCAGAGGCTTCCACCGAGGCGATCGCTACCGACAGCATCACAATGGAGGTGGTAGAAAGGTCTGACCTTATGGAAGAAAGTCTCAAGCATCAGGTGGCTGATTTGGAAGAAATGGCATCTACAGTGGAGGACAAGAATGGAGCAGGAGCTCTTGATCACACAATGGCAGAAGAAGCTGTGGATACTATTTCTGAATCCATTGACGAGCAAACAAATCAAGAGATGCCTGGTGAGCCAGTGGCACAAGATACCCTCCCAGAGTCTACGGATGATCAAATGAGTCCTGTAGAAGACAAAACAGGAGAATCTGGGGTAGTAGATGACACGATCGTAGAGTTCGCGGACGATCAAATGAGTACCGCAAAAAAGGAGCCTGCTTCTATGGAGCCAATTCAACTGGATTGGGATGCAATTCGCAAAGCAACAAACATACCGGCAAGGCCAGATGATGATTTGAGTACAGGGACAACATCGTATCCAGTGGGAGTGGGGCAATCGATGCTGGTGAGACTGGAAATAGAACTAGATGACGTTGGATATAGAATCAAGAAAGGAACAGACTCCATTTCTCTAGTCGAAAAAGAAATGATGGTCAGATTGCCCAGGCCAGCAAAACGAGGCCGAGGCAACGATATGTGGTGGAATCGAGTATGCAGGTTGCCACTCGGGCGGAAGATCATACAGAAATGCCAAAGGACCTATCCAACAATGAAAGTGAAGGCTAAACAATCATGAACGACGGACGCCATCGCGATGTGTGGGCCGCTCACGCATTGCCGCTGCCGAGCCAACAAACGAAAACGACCTTCTTCAGCGCTGCTTTCCTTCATCAGTAGCGTGGCCCTCAACTTGAAGACCCGAAAGAAACACAATCGAATGCCACAGTATCAATAGCCCTCCTGAATGCTTTAGCTGTGTCGCGAGCAAACGCGCAGAAACGTTCGGCTGGTACAAGACAACGATGCCTCTACAAAGCCAGGAAGCAAAGGGAACCGAACCAATTTTCGGAGCGCCTTCTCACCGGCAAGGATGTGTGCTTTCATCTAGCTGTGAGGCGCGGCGCATTGCCCCACACAGTTGTGTAAGTGACTCTAATACATGTACATTAGCTGCTACTGTCATGTTTCAGCTGATCGGTAGCCCCTGGCAAAATTAAATCAATCACAGGAGCAATCAGGACAGGAACAGGCAACATCATAGGGCTCTGTGCAATCCACACGTATCACTGCCAATCCTGAGTTGCCACAGAGCCTGCTGGGCACACTTCCAGTGAATTGATTGTCGTCCAAGAAAAAGCTTCTCAAATTCGTCAGTGACGTAACCTCTCCAGGAATGCTTCCTGAGAGTTGGTTTCCATTGAAGCCCAAGTACGTCAATGCCGTCAATAGTCCAAACTCAGATGGCATGCTCCCGGATAACCGATTCTCTTCCACGTTGAAGTGAGACAATCCAGTCAACAATCCAACCTGCGAAGGAATGGTACCAACAAGGTCATTGACATACAAGGCCAAATAAGTCAATGCAGTCAGAGCCCCTATCTCCGATGGTATGCTTCCTGATATCTCGTTATAGGGCAAGCTCAAGCGTGTTAGCTCTGTCAGATATCCTATCTCAGTTGGAATCGTTCCCAGAAAATCCTCACGGCTGATTTCTATTTGAGAAGTAACCGCAACATCATAGCTGCTCCCAAATATTGTAACTGTGCTGGGAGAAGTGCCCGGTGGTGGTTGTGGAGTGGACCCCGGGACGTAGCATTCACATTCGACACATCGGCATTGCACATAATAGGGATCTGGGGGGCAATCCGCAACTATCAGGGCTAATTCCGAGTTGGCACAGAGACTTCTCGGTACACTGCCAGAGAGATCATTGTCGTCCAACCACATGTATTCCAATGATGTCAACAGACCAATCTGGGATGGAACCGTCCCAGATAGCATATTGATGCTCACACTCAGGGAAACCATTTCTGCTAGAGACCCAATCTCAGAAGGAATGGTTCCTGACAGTTGATTGTCACCAAGGCCCAAGAAATTCAAGTCTGTCAATAGCCCAATCTGAGATGGTATGCTTTCTGTTAGCTGGTTTTCCCACACGCTTAGAAGAGTCAGCGCTGTCAGCATTCCCGTTTCTGTTGGAATCGTTCCTGAAATCTGGTTGCGATGAAAATTCAAGGAAGTCAATCGAGTCAACAAGCCAATGTCTGTTGAAATGGTACCCGTGAGCCCAGCAAAACTTTGATCAATTCGCGAGGTAGTTGCGACATTGTACCTTGTCCCAAACAATTCCACAGTCCCTTGAGTTGTAGTCGGCGCCGAAGCTGGTGGTCCTAATGCGGGTGGTCGTGTAGTGATGTTATCATTCAACTTTCTTTTTCGTTTTTTCTTCGGATTTGCGTCGCTTGCAGCTTGGGTATGGGTCGAAGCTTGGGTGTTGGCTGCAACTTGGATGTTGCTCATACTCAGAGAAGGGTCATGAGTGGCTACCGGTACAATAACAGCAGAGAGTGGTTGTGTCGTTGATGGCGTCCCTCGGTTTGAGCTGATGATGGCAATAAGAGGCAGCAGAAGAAGAGCAGTGATACCGAAAAGGAAAGCACCTCTACCGGTACTAGTACTCGTTTGCATGGAAGCATTCAGTTTCTTCGCCGGTGCTAGTAAGTCTTCTGGTCCATCCTTTACGCTCTCTGGTTTGACCTTGGCCATCGTTGGATCATACATGGCAACAGACTCCATGGTTGTGGTTTGCTAAAGATCAAGGACAATGAAAAATGAGAGCTCAAGAGTTCCATGACAGTCGACTTGCCAAAATCGGTGCGTGCCAGTGTGCTCCGGTACCTCAGTACGGTAGAGGGAGCACGGAAGAGAATGACTATAAAAAACTCCATCCACCTGGATACCCTACTTCCTGCTACATACCCGGTATGTACAGTCGTACTGGGTGTCGTATTTTACTGTGGACAGAATCCATGAATGGATCTTTTTGTAAATGGGGTTTTTTCAAAACCAAATGGTGTGTAGCCTTGGCTTTTAGAACTTCGAACGATTTGCGGTCGTCATGTGATACTCAATTGTGGACCGAGTTACCGATAATAATACAGTTCCTTCAATGCCCCTGCAGGTACCGGTACAGCCGCAACTGGTACATTCCTTAGACAGAACTGAGAGGCATCACCATCTCCCAGCTCTAAGCTACAGAGAAGAATTGAATTCCATGAAGAAAAGAGCCCTGCGATAGCCATGCCTGTCAGTACACGCAGATTTGGAAATTTGTTGATGTCTAGCTAGCTAGCTATTAATAGTATTGCAGTCTGGCCAAGCTTCGAAGATCAAAGTTCCCCCTCCACTTCCAAGTCCGCCACTGCAGCTCGGATTTGTCGAATCTTGGCATCAAAAAACTTTTGCTGTTTTTCCTCCGGAAGCACTTTGGCCTCTGCTTTGACTCCTTTCTCTCCCATCTTCTCCCCCATCATGCTCGTCATCATGTCGGGAAGCTTCTTCTCGATGAGGCTGGGTAAAAAGTAGGCTTCTAGTCTATCTTTGTTCTTGGCGCCAACAAAGCCGAGGACCTTTTGTATTTTGCCACCCAATGACTTGTTCTCAGTCTTGGCCTCTGCCATGGTGGCCATATCCACTCGTCGTACTTGCATCAGCAAGACAAAGTAGTTGGCTGTGCATAGAGCAAAAGGTACCAAGAAACAAGGCGATAGTCTAGGGTTAGACAAAGATCAAGGATCAAAAGTACATACATGTGACAATGCCAAAAATGCCATACCTTCTCGATAGTGCTCCTCTACCGTGGCAGTCACACCCATGGTGGCCATTTTCTCGGGTATTTTGTTACTCATTTTCTCCGCCATCTTGCCCGCAATCATGGTCGGTTTGACAAATCGTTTGGCGGCGGCATCGACTCGTTTGGTCATTCGACTCTTCACGAAACCGGGCAACTTGGTGTTGCTGATCTTGGCTCCAAGTTTGCCACTAATGGCTTCGGAAGGATCGTGAACTGTTGTGAAAAGAAAAGAGTGGGAGAAGAGGATAAGGTTATCAACCAGAAAAGAAAACACAACCAGTCAACCAGCGTCGATGCCTTTTTACATAAGCGTACCGACAACATTGACAAACAACTTGGCGGGTTGTTTGTCGGAAAAACTTTCCGCAAGAGGAGCTCCCCCCAACAGCTGGAAGGCAAGGAAAAGGGGAAGAAAGAGCTTGGTGATTTGCGGCTTCATTCTCAGTGATGCTACCGGTGTCCTTTGGTGCGAATGATGTTACTACGATGATTATGTTGTTGTGGTAGCATAGCCGCAAAACTTCTCTATTGGTCATTTTGAAAGAGGATCCAGTTCTCGATCTGTGGCCCAAGAAGAGAAAGCGCTTTTACGGTAACTTCTGTTAGCCCCAGAAGTTGATTTTCCCCACCAGTAGATTTATCAGCGAAGACTGTAGAGATCGGGGTAAATTGCTTTTTAGTTGAAGTCAGAAACTCCTCCAGCCACCTGGTCTTCTTTGAAGTCCTTATATCCAGCAGCATACTGCTACTAGTACTAGCTAGTAGAGCACTTACCGTACCGGTACCGGTACCGGTTCCGTACCATATGAAGCCTCCATCATCCAATCTCCCAAAGAAACTCCATTTTTGGACCTCAAGTGAGTCGAGTCGAGTCGGCAGATACATACCCCTAGCTAGCAGTACTAGTATAACCAATACATGTAGAGTCAACCTGGCAATACTTGAGATAGGGGATATCATACTTGATTTGGACGTGCCCGTCGCAGTGGTGGTAGTCGCAGGGGTGGTAGTGGCTTGTTAATTTGGTGGTTGTGGGAGTGACGAACAGCCACCAAAATAAAATCGTTATTTCTTAGGGATGTCTCCTCCCATCACAGGTGGACCATTCTCTGTCCCCACTACTAGCTAGCCCCATTGGGCCCAACTGAATACAGCCATGCCAACAAATATATGCATCCCACCAGGCATATCAGCAGTAAATCAGTCTACTGGTCGGGCGTGCAGTAGGTACCAGGTACAGGAATGCAAACTTCTCTCAAAAGATCTGGGCTCGAGTGCGATTGCAATCAGTATGATAAACACAGCAGAGCTGTGAATCATGGAAAGATTTAAGAGCCTGAAAGATTTAGGAAGGAGATAGAACCTTAATTACTCAATTGAACGCACCTCTCGAGACAAAACGGCTCCATTCAGATTTTGAAAGAGGAAAGACACATCGCCAAATTTTCATCTGATGGTTGTGGGATTACATTGATTTATGCCGAGGTTTATCACAACAACGAGAAGACCAATAGAAGGGATCAACCAAGCAAGGGCCAACCCGCAACAAGAGGAAGAGGAGGAGTTGCAATTGTTGTGGTGATTCGATTCGATTCTCTTGAAGGTCGCTGTTGCGTTGGTTGAGCTCACTTGGAAGTACCAGTAGTACTGTAGAGAATAGAAAGCCATGGCGCGCCATGGTGGGCTCGATTTATCGGGAGTTAATCTCTACAATGAGAACGGCGGGGTTGTTCAGGGTCAAATCTGTGGCCAGGCCATCTTCACAAAGCTGCTAAGGAACAAGAAGGGGAAGGGTTCGATGCCGTTGTCTCAGACTCCGTCGGTATTCGGCAAGGATGCAGGTACGCTATGCATGAGTCCTGTTGGTACCGGTAGACCCAAAAAGACAAAGTTTCGCCAGAGAAATGAATATGTTAACATGAACATGAGCACCATTGACACAGAGTCAGAATCATGCTCCAGCGATGATGTCTTCTCGGAAGAAACCAGCGCTGGATCATTGACTGCTACACTAGATGATCTCCAGTCTCCCGCTTTTGTGGCACAGTTTGATCCCATGGAGCTCTTGAACCCCACACCCGCGCAGCAGGAACAGCAACAGCAACAACCATCGCCTGCCACGAGAAAGTCGGCGCCTTCCTGGTCTGCCTCACTCCCGGCCGTTCTAGAAGAAGACTCCAAAGACTCCCAAAGTGAACAAGGAAGCCAAGGACAGGGTGGAATATGGAGAAACATGAACAGCATTCTAGCCCAACCTCCGGCTCTCGAGGCGTATGACGATGATGTGGAAGACGATGAGGAGGAGGAAGACTCTATCCTTAGAAAACTGGAACAAGTCTTCTTGATGGACTCAGATAGAATCGAATCGCCTCGGTCGATTCCGAATGCCAATGGACCTCCACAACGATACCTGCACGAAGGAGCAACAGATGATGGCATTGAGCAAGAGCTGGAGTCTCCAGGGCTACGAATCCCCGGCGTCAGCAAACGGCGAGATCACTCCAAGCATTCGTCAAAGGAACAATCCATGAGAGAGGCCGTGGACAGACGCATTCAACAAGTAATGGACGAAGAGTTCGGCCAACGGGTCGCTGCTCGACCGCAACCTGAACCTTCAGTAAGTGAGGATGAGAGCCGTGATGATTCTCCACGTATGCAGCAACATCATCAACAAGAACGGAGACAGGTGCTGCAGCAGCCAGACTATAACCCATTTCACCAGCACCATTCTAGCGGTCCTGAAAGGGGAGTTCAAAGCAACTGGTATCACCAAGATGAGAGCCATGCGTTGCGCCCGTCCGCTGTGTCCAATCAGATGCAAGACCTTCTTAGGCAACAGCAAGTGACTCTGAAAGAGATGTCGATGCAAAACTATCACTACCGCAAGGAACTCTCAGAATGCCAAGATATGTTTGGAAAGTGGCGGATGGAACGTGAAGAACAGCGAAGCACCATCAATGACTTGGTCAAGGAAAAGGAAGCATATGCATCTGAAGCCAACTTTTTGCGGAACGAGATGTCGTCTATTCGTCACGAGTTGGAAGCTTTGCGAAAAGGGGCACAAGTCCACACCGGGCTACAGAACCTGAGGCAGAAACAAGAGCCCTTGAGTGAAGCTTCGTCCAAGAGGCAAGAACTGTGGAGTATCGGAGCTGAGAGTCCGTTTATGCAAACTCGTCTTCCCTTCGATGGTCAGATGCAGTCGCCTGGGTTTAGTGAGGGGAATGTAGCATTGCCTACTGCACGTTCTGAATTTGCGCCTCCGCCACCACCACCACCGCTCAGCAGACCGCAACCAGACACGCCGACTCGATTAGAAAATCACATTGGCGCCAGCAAACCGGACAAGCCCAAGCCCCTTGTGTCAAAGCTGAAAACGACTCCCACCGACCCGTCCAAGAAAAAGCACGGTCGCTCCGTAACATTCCACGACCCTCCGAAGTCCAAAGAGTGGACCCTCTTTCCCACCAATCACGTTCAAGACGACGAGGATATTCTGGACAGTGCCTTTGAAGCTCATCAATGGACTCTTGTTTCGCAGCACCAACAGCAGGCACGGGTTGACAATGTTGCTACAAATCGGCCTGAAGGCTTGCATGTTCATCCTTCAAACAACAATTTGGAAGCCGTCCCAGAGGAAGAGCCCCCCACGCCTGTGGCTGCGAATGGGAGGGTGGCTTCAAGCGTCGCTGACGTTGAAAGCGATGAAAGAGAAGCGGCGGCGAATTTATACAAGTACCGCCTCGAGACAATCCAGAGAAATCGACAACAGCGCGTCGTCGGCAGAGCAGACACCGTGACGGTCTATGGCAGTCCCGACGGTAGCATTCCGGGCAGACAGAAAAAGCGAAGAGGTCGTCCTGCAGCGACATAGGAGCTGCCGACCAATGGTGTGGTTGACTTTGAGCTCTGTCAAGAGTGATATTGGCATGTTCTAGATAGTCTGAGCGTATAACGTTTTAATTAATTTTAATAAAGTAGCTAACGACACACGAGCACACATCTTCATATCTTCGTGGTGACGGTACTACTAGCAGTAGAGGCGCGTAACAGCACAAGTAAGTAAAGTAGCGTACACAAGTCTCGGCGTCTTTGGCGGGGATGCTGAGATTGATCTTCAACAAGAGTGGTGTTGGTGGGAGAGGGGGTTCCCTACTCGTTGCTTTGACGTTCGTTCGTTGGTGCTGTCCCGATCCCGGGCAGACAGAAGGGCGGGACGATGGGTCCACTTCGAATAGTCCATTCCAGCAGCGATCTGTTCACTTTGACGTGTATCTTCCCCACCAAGTACTGAGAAAGTTTGTTGATGCTAACGTGAGGAGAAACTCGTGCGCCTTGTGCTTTTCATGAACGGTGCCTTGCACGATTTCCCCCAAATGTCTCAATTCGATAATCGACTTTGATCGTTCAATCCTTGTCAAGTCTTGCCGACCTCAAAGGCGGCAACGTGACAACGTGCTTCCTTGACGCTTGACTTCCGAGCGTTTGTGCCGCGATGTCATTCGCATGGCTTGAACAGAAAGGACACTTACTGTCTGTCCTAAGAGTGGAACTTCGTCAATAACTCGTTCCGTTCGGCGTACCGTACTTTGGGTCCAACATCCCGTCACCTATGAAGATTTGCACAGACCAATCTTTTTGAACTTGATCCTTCATCATTTCGGCCTCAAAACAACACTCCGTGCGATGTCGTTGTTGACTATTGACTATGGCTTTTGCAGCAAAGTCGCTCTCTTGAAACGGCAAGAGCTCCAGAGCAGCCAACATTAGCTAACGGGGGACCAGAGAACGCTGTCATAGCTGCGATTGTCCGCATAGCTTTTCTTTTTCCAGGCCTGGCCCCCTGCCAGCTTGGGTACATTAATTCCCTACTCTACAGCTGGCTAGGTAGTCATGGTAGCTAGAAGACCCCTTGAGCTTGGGGGAGAACAATCAGCCTCAAAGATCCAAAAATGCGCATATATCCACTTTTGAAATCGAGCAACACAGGGTGTTCGCTCAGTTTTTTTGCCTTGGAATCAAACTAAGTGTTCTATGGCAGCTAGCTCTAGCTAGGTCACGAAAAAAGTGGTCGCAGTAATACGTTGTTGCTGGCCAAAGATACCGGTACGGTAACAGTTGCGTTGCAAGGTTAGAGCCACTGGCTGCTATTAATAGCAATTCTCACAAAAGCCAATGACGACGTTCTCCCAACCTGTACCGTACAACACGTCCACGGCTTCGTTTGAATCCGGTACTCCAGGTACGACTGTACCTGCCGGTAGCTGTGTGCCTGCTTCAGAGATTCATCTTGCCTACGGTACTATCGATGCAAAGGAACATGCACCTCTTCTACAAATTCTGCGGGGCTTGGCGGCGATGTCGACACCTACCGGTACAGCCTACAGCAGCAACCAGCTACTTCGTACTTCAAGTCATTCGCCTCCCCCGAAAAGCACGACCCCATTAGAAAATTCGCCAGTGGGGTACTCTGGTTGGCCCGTCGGCCCAAATCGTACTAAAGAGCAACATACAGTCAACACACTCCGGCCACTTCTCTAGTCGAATGCGGGCAGTTGGTTGTGATTCAGTTGGTTGATTCTGAATCAACCAACTCCAGGAAGGCAACATAGTCTACTTTCCATGCTGCGAGCCTGATTAGAGCCTGATTAGAGCCAGCTTAGAGCCAATGCCCTTCCTGCCTCTCCTTTTTAGATGGATGCCTGATGCCTGTCAAGCTCGTCATTGCAACTACTATTAGGCGGACTTGCGCTTTCCAGAGTACCTAGACTAGCTACTCGTACTGTACTCTACTAGCTGGACTAGCTAGAGCTGGAGAGGAGACTTTGTGACTTTCCCTCGTGGTCTTCAATCTTCCATCTCGGCGGGTGATGAAGAGAGGTTCAACCTTCACCTTCAAACACATTTTCCTGTTTCTTCTTGGTTGCGGTATCGTTTTGTGAGCTAGCTACATGCATGTCATCTGCCAGTGGGAGGTAAACATTTTAAAAAAAAAACTCCGACTTTTTCCTTGTTTTGGAGGAGCAAGTTTCCATTTTCTTTACGGAAACAATACTGAAGGCGACAGTCCTCAAATACCTCCGGTTCCACTCTATCTAATTCCACTTGGGTGAGGATTGTGCACCAACTTACCAATGACAAGCTGGAGGCTGTATCGTTCCCCTTCGTAGACTTCCGCCTGTTCTCCTTGGAGGCACTTTCCTGTCCACTCGGTCCACTCATCGCCCCCAACGTGCACCTGGTTCAGTCGATTCAATTCATCCTCGCTAACATCAAAGCACATTAAAGAAGAGGATTGCCGGCCTTCTCCATTCTCAAGGGCAGTCAATATGGCAAATCGGAGTGCGGTTCTGACATTGTCGGCACAGTAAAATCCAGCTCCAAAATCGCCGATAGGTTGAAAATGAGAAACACTGATACCAGCCATTAGGATATTATTCATAGCCCAAGTGCTTGTACCATGAAAGAAGCGCTTGTGGCCTTTTGGAATTGGACGAGACGCCGCCAACCAATCCTCAATCGCACATACGATGCGTCGACAAAACTCGTCCTCATTCTCAACAAAAAATTTGCAAGGGGAGTCTTCACGCTGAATGTACTGCAGAGAGACGCCTTTAAATTCTCCAGAGCGATTAGAATAGCTCAGCTCTTCACCCACAGGTTTCTTAGTAGCGCTGGAATAAAGGACACTAAGAATCCATTTTGTAGCGAGATTTCTTGGGATGAGACGGCCGTGATAGTTGTCGGCCAATTAGAACAGTGAATGCGTGTACTGGATTCTCTTGAAACCCCAGGAGATCAAACACTCAGACGGAGTTGATCCCACTGGAGGAGGCCGCGCGAGTTTTTAAATTGCCATTTGGGTCCTAGAGACTCCAGGCCATGCTGTCGCTGCGACCTTCCCGGCCAAAGCTCCCCCCCAAAGCACTCCTCTAGGATCTCCGTTCCAGTCAGTCGCGCTGGAATCTCTTCGCCTTCAACAGAGGAATTATCACTGGCGCTGAGAGGAGACAATGCAGGCCGCGGGGATCCAGGAATTGGCGGGGCGGATGGTAGAATATTCATGGTGTGACAATTGTTGAGGCGAGAGACGAGAGGTCTGTCTCAATCGTGCATTCGGTTTCAGAGTAGGATTCCCCATTCTAATGTCCGCACAAGGGTTTTTTATTAAGGTTGTCTTGATGGTGGCCAAAGTGCGTGAGGCTCCATGGAGTTCTTTTCCAGTGAGATCCAAAAAAAGAAGAGCACTCGCCCTGATCTGATGGCTGCTTTTTTGAAAAGCACAACAGAGATCCAGTTTCGCGCCCAGAGAAGGCTGGCGGCTTGTTGTCGTCATTGGTGAGAATTGCAAGGGCAGAGGTTGCCCACAAATTGCACTACTCGTACAGCTGGAGCGTTCCTCAATCGTGCATGTCTTAACGAAAACCGACCCTATTATTTGGGACGGATTTAGGGACGGGTTCCCTTTAGGGTCGGGTTTGAAAACCGTCCCTAAAAATAGGGACGGTTTCTGAAAAATAGGGACGGTTTCTGAAAAAACGTCCCTAATTTAGGGACGGGTTTCGATTTAGGGTCGGGTTTGAAAAACGTCCCTAAATGGAAGCGGGACTGAGTGGTAAATACATTGAAAACGCACCAATATTAGGGTCGGGTTTGAAAACCGACCCTAAAAATAGGGACGGTTTCTGAAAAATAGAGACGGTTTCTGAAAAAACGTCCCTAATTAGGGACGGGTTTCGATTTAGGGTCGGGTTTCGAAACCGACCCTAAATCAGTCGGATTTAGGGTCGAGTTTCCCCAAACCGACCCAAAATTAGGGACGGATTTAAAGGACATGCACGATTGAGGAACGCTCCTGAAGCACTTGTAGAGCTGAAGCACTTGTACAGCTGAAGCACTCGTACAGCCAAAGCACTCGTACAGCCAAAGCACTCGTACAGCCAAAGCACTCGTACAGCCGAAGCAATCCCAGTCAACGAGTGAATTCAATTTGCAGACCAACAATGGCATCCAAGAAGAACAAGAAGAACAAGAAGGTCCGCCAGAAGCATCGACACCAACACCATCCGATGAGATTATGCCATAGGAGCCATAGTATGGGTGCGGCGCAGCTGTGCTGGCTCAGTCTGGTGGAAAGATCGCTGCTGCATCTGTACACTCTTTCAGTACAATGAGCTGTGTCACCATCAGACAAGATAGGAACAGCTGTAGAGACATAGAGTTCCTCTGCAGGAAGGATGATGCAGTCCCTCAGCCATGACCTATCTAGAAAGATAGCTTGGTATATACCAGCCAAAAGAGATGCATGGATCTGTATCCTGCATGGCTGGATGGAGTTTCACGCAAAATCAGAGTTTGTGTTTATATTATTAGTTTAAAGAAGTAATGAAGAAGTAGTTGACCAGATACAGGCCCAACAGCACAATAGAGCTCTGCAGTAGACAGGATCCTGTATGGCCAGTGCCAGGTATTGAGCAATTAGACTGTTCAATCATTGCTTCCACAGTGATTGAATAAGCATTGGCTGCCAGCCTTGTGGCTGGCCCTTCCAGCGCCAGTGGAAGGAGATCTCCACCAAACAGGGCTCTCCATCCCAGCTCTTGTGCACCTACCACTGAGTTCCTCTGGAATTCATAGGATTAACAGAGCCGCATAGACACGCACAAGAGTGGCTACTGGTACGTGTGGAAATCTAAGAGTGGAAGAGTGGAATCCACGGACGAAAGACCTGCTGACAGATCGACGACCGAAAACTGGAATCGCGACCGATTCGAGTGGAACCAAGACGGTCACCTACCAAGTAAAGGCTGATCTACAAGATAGACCAACCAGTGCTTCAGCTAATAGGCTTGAATACCGAGATCGGTGAGCGAAAAGCACCGGCCGATCGATCAACAAGAAAAAAATCGCGACACGAAAACGCCGATCGGACCGAAAACTCGATTCCCGACCGATTGAGCCCAAACCAAGACTGTCACCTACCAACCTGAGGGTGCTTGAGAGGATACACCAGCCAGTTTCTTGTTAATCGGCCTCAATCAGCCGGCCGATAGAGGAATAAGAGCGCCATTGTCGACCTTGATTCCTTTACGGAAACTCTCAGTCGTGCCTCCGGTCAAGGTACTCCGGTCAAGGGAACCGGTACTCACACGGTACTCACAAAACCGGTACCGTACCTCGAGGGTTCTGTTCCGAAAGCAGGCCGAGCCAAAGATCCGAGTCGCCTCACATTTTCGATCGATTCGCGAACTCCGTGGCTCCGTACGAAAGATACCTTGTTAGGAGTACACTACAGGAGTAACTCGCAACACCACGAGAGCACCGTTTGACTGTTTCGAAGACACCCAAGGTTACCAGCTGATAGAGCACGCTCTGTTTAGTCATTGACTAGCAGTGCACGCCTTCAGGACCACTTTTGGATTTCTTGTGACAGTGTTTGCCCAGCCACTACAACAACACCTCTACACCACACCACACTCAGCCAGCGCACCAACAACCATTATCATGGCTCGCAAGAAGAAGGAGCAACAACAACAGGCCCAGCCTGCCATTGGTGTTCCACCACCAGCATCTAGCAATAGCACTGGTACCATCAACAGGTCCACCACTGCAGGACCTCCACATCCAGTTCCATCGCATGGAAGGACACCTGTGGATCCCCCTGTAGCCAACCAGCCAGGGCCTCCCATTGTGACTCCTTCCCCACCAGCCAACCAAGGTGTTACCCTTTCAATGATCAGCCACCAACTGTCAATAGCATTGAAGAAAATGAAACAAATGAACCAAGCTCCCTTGGCCCCACCACAAGGCCACAATACCAATCAGCTTGGTTCATCCCATCCACCTTACTCCACTCCCTGCACACCTGGTTTATCACACAAGCCTAGCCCTGAGATTAAGGCTAGGAGGACCGATTCAGAACCAGGCAGTTTGAACAGAGTTTGTTGGGTGATGTTGAGGACCTCTTGGTCATCCATCCCAACCCAAAGTTGCCATGGTGTTGCCACTTCCCCTGCTGAGGTGGATACCATCACCAAGTATGGGCCCTCAATGGGGAGGTATATCCCCAACCAACACCAATCATACCATCACATCACGGCATCCCACCAACACCCCATTCTGTGAGATACCCAACTACACAACCGATGTCTTCAGTCCCTACTACACGGCATGAGTCCTCAGCAGCCTATCAGCCCTTGCCTATTAGGCAGACATCATCCCAGACACCAGTACACCCAGACATTCCCATTATTCTAGTCAGCCAACCTACTGATCAACCGAAGAAACAAGAAGGAAGTCAGCCTTCATTCATGGCAATGATGGTCTTCCAAGTCCAGAGGTGGTGGGGAGGTGGCAACACAGGCCCCAGGCAAGCCCTTTCGGCCAAGCCGGATGCCACGGCCTACCCTACCTCAAATCCAACAAGGACTTCGACCAGTGTATGAGTCCTTTATCACTATGGCTAGAGGTCAAGGGTTTCATAAGATCTTTGATGCCGACTATGTCCCAAGCAGCACCGAGTCCATGGATGAACTCATACGAATGAATCACTGGTTCTACGCTGTTTTCCAGAAGACAGTGCAGACCACCAATGGAAAGGTGGTCGTGAAGTCCCACTTTCATGACTCTGACTGCTTTGCCATTCTCGTTGAGCTTGTCCAGGACGCTCACTTGTGAGTAGCAGGTTCTCTGGACCATGTGGAGACACTCACATGGCTGACGAGTGTGCAATACAGCCCAGAGGAGCAAGTTCCGCAGTGGACTTCATTGTACAGTTTGACACAGTTGTTACCCGATTCAATGATGGCAACGAGACTCCAGTGATAGGCTCACCGATGGTATACAGAAGCTGTTCTTACAGCGGGCCTTCACTGGTGCCCCCACCTTGAACGACATTTCTGCACTGAACATGAGAGAATATGTCGGAGGGACATCATGCATCGTTTACATACGACGGGTACAAGGAGTGCTACTGAATGCCGCCACTTCTTTGACATCAACCGAAGAGTGATGACTCACGTCTAGCCCACATAGCCGACATTGGCAGACGAGACATCAGAGTGATGGGGAGCATGTAAAGTTCCACGCCTTCCTGACCACGTCTGGTCTCAGCTATCCAGCAATGGACGCCAGATTTGGTACAGGCTCTCTGTCGTGACAGAGAGGTCCTGATGGAAGCACCGTCAAACCCAGAAATCTCTCTCTA